GGGCAGCCGGACACGGGAGGACAGTGGAGAAGTGAGACAGGACAGGACCCCCAGAGGGGTCAGCAAGGGAGACTGCAACCGGCCGGCCGAGCGGCGTAAGGGTAGTGCGGTCTCGAAAGAAGGAGCGAGAAGCCCCGGAGTCAAGTGTGAAAGTGAGGGAGGACGAGGACGACGCAGTACCTGAGAGCGCAGTCTCACCAGTACCTGAGAGCGCAGACGCACTGGCACCTAGAGCAGCAGCCTCACAAGCACCTAGCGCAGCTGTACCAATGCCCGGGTCGGGCTGGAAACACCGGTAACCCTCATTCTCCTCACTATAAGTCACAGCATACATAGCAGCAAGGATAGCATCAAAATCAAGATCAAAGATCGCTACACCAGCCCTAAGAAGCTCATCCCAGCGAGGGATCTCACTAGCCCCAGGGAACTGCTGACGCCAAGCGTCCGTCAGGCGGCCAAAGCAGCGCTGGGCGGCGTGGGCACCCCCACACTGCTCACCCGCGCGGTCGCCGGAACGAAGAACGTAGGTGCAGGGACCAGTACCCCCACCCCTCTGACGCCCAGCGTACCACTCACGAAGCTGCTGAGGCGGAGGGATGTCCCGCGAGCGCTGCTGCTGCTGCCGCTGCGAGCGCTGGCCACTACCACCGCCGCTACGCTGCTGGGTACCACCCCGACCAGCTGCACCTCCTCCACCACCACCGCCTCCTCCGCTGCCGCCTCCACCGCCTCCACCTCCGCCGCCTCCACCTCCGCCACTGCCTCCACCACCACCGCTGGCACCACCACCACCGTCTTCGCCGCTGCTGCCACCACCACCACCACCCCCGCCACTAGTCCCGCCGCCACCCCCACTCCCTCCGCCGCCACCGCCGCCACCGCCACCGCCCCCTCCAGCTCCACCCGCGCCCTTGCCCCCCTTGCCCTTGTTGGAGCGACGTCTCCCACTAGGGGCAGACGCCGCGCCGACCGACTCAAGACCAAGCAGGTCGGCAGCAGCAGCAGAGGCAACAGAGGGCAGCAAGGGGGAAGGAGAGCACCCCTCAAAGATGGGGGTGCGAGGGTCACCACGAGAAGCACCTACAGCGACTATGCTCTTCTCCGCTGCGAGGAGGGCCTTCTCGAGGAGGTCGACGGTGAGGGTGGTGGGACAGACTGCGAGAAAGTGGTCCCTGACGACGTGAAGGGAGTCAGGGAGGCGCGCGACTACGTAGTAGAGAGCGATGTACATGGGGGGTGGGTTCTTAGCGCAGAACTCAGCAGGAAGGGCGGCGCGGTAGCGAGTGTCACTAGTGCGGAGGTGCGTAATGAGGTCAGCGACAGTGGGAAAGGCAGAGAGGTCAGGAAAGAGGTAGGGAAGCATGAGACGGCTCAGTGCAGCAGTGGCAGGGGAGGAGTAGCGCGCAACTACAGCGTCGTACAAGGTCTGAGCACTCTTGTACTGACTAAAGTGCGCACGCTCAGAGGTAGGGAGGTGGCGACACACAGCAAGACGTGCAGCAGCATCGCGGGTGGCCCACTGAGAGCGGACAGTGGGATCAGCATCAGCAGCAGGAGCAGGAGAGGCGCCAGAGGTGAGGTCAAAGAGAGAAAGGCCGTCAGCTGTGTCGCACTGTAAGAACAGCTGCAGGTCGTCTAACCAGACCTCAAAATCAATGGCGCGACCCTCAGCGTCAAAAGCTAGGACACTAGGGGTAGCCATGGCGACGACAGCGACGCAGTGCAAGCAGTAGGGAAAGGGCTCGCAGTGACAGTGGGACTGTGCTCACCAGGCAGGGCAGGTCGTGCAGCTCTGCAGAAAGGCGGCTCGGCTCCCGGGCGGCTCGGGCGCAGGGCGGCTCGGCTCCCGGGCGGCTCGGCGGCAGGGTGGCTCGGGTGCAGGGCGGCTCGGCTCCCGGGCGGCTCGGCTGCACTGCTGCCCGACTGCTGCAGGTGTGGCGGCGGGGCCGCGTGAGAGAGCCGGGGCGGGGACGCGTGAGGGCCGGCGGCGGGGCCGCGTGAGAGCCGGGGCGGGGCCGCTTCAGAGCCGGCGGCGGGGCCGCGTGAGAGCCGGGGCGGGGCCGCTTCAGAGCCGGCGGCGGGCCGCAAAAGAGCCGGCGGCGGGGCCGCTTGAGAGCCGGGGCAGGGGCCGCGTCAGGGCCGGCGACGGGGCCGTAAGAGAGCCGGCGGCGGGGCCTGGAGAGGGCCGACGGCGGGGCCACGTGAGAGCCGGGGCGGGGCCGCAAGAGAGCCGGCGGCAGGGCCGCGTAAGAGCCGGAGCAGGGGCCGCGTAAGAGCCGGGACGGGGCCACGGAAGAGCCGGGGCGGGGCCGCGAGAGAGCCGTCGGCGGGGCCGCGTGAAAGCCGGGGCGGGGCCGCGCGAGAGTAGGCGGCGGGGCCGCGTAAGAGCCTGGGCGGGGCCGCGACAGAGCTGTCGGCGGGGCTGCGTGAAGGCCGGGGCGGGGCCGCGTAGGAGCCGGGGCGGGGCCGCGTGAGAGCAGGCAGCGGGGCCGCGTAAAGGCCGGGGCGGGGCCGCGACAGAGTCGGCGGCGGGGCCGCGTGAGAGCCGGCGACGGGGCCGCGTAAGGGAGGGCGGCGGGGCCGCGTCAGTGGAGGCGGCTGAGCCGCAGGGGAAAAGGCGACCCGAGGGGTCGCTAAAAAAAAAATCGCGCCTCGGGGCGCGCTTCGGTGGGCCCAAAAAAACGGTCCTTAGAAGGACCCGCTCTATACCATGTGAGAATAAGCGAACAGGAATGAATGAACTAGCAGTGAAATGAGTACAAGTAGGAAACCCTAGAATTATGTACCCCCTATAGGCTAACCCACTGTAGCGTACACAAGCATAACATATATAATGTTTGACAATCTCCACTAAACAATTGCAAAATATTCATATGGAATAATGCACTATGAACAGTACCGTATTCAAAACTGCTCAACATGCATACAGTATGGGAAGGGTAGTACTGTAGTTGACAAATTTTATTTTCATGATTTTTTTTTAAATATAAACATGAAAATAAAATTTGGCAAAATCGATCGTAAAAGGGTTGCTTCGCAACCCAAAAACATCGCTTGAAAGCAGCGCGTCGCGCGTCTATCGATGCAACGGCTTCCGTTTGAGAGTAGCGCGCCGAGCCGCCCCAGCGGCCTTCGCTTAATTTTATGGCTCGGTTTCGTTCTGCGACAAAGACGAGAGGTTTCTAGGAAAGACTACTCGAATGATTCCCGAATTGGAAGGGACGTTGTGGCTGAAGTGGAACAAAAATTGGCTTCTGCTTCCTCGCTAGGTCGCGCTGAGAATTTCTCGTACCGTGACGCGGAAGTGGGGAACGGTCGCGTGGGCTAGTACGACTACGAGTGAGCTCAGAGGAAGGCAGTGGTGCAACGAGTTTCAATGTGTAACGGTTTCTAAGAGCATTTCTTAAGGACAAAACTATGGACTGCAATGTAGTGTAGGAAGATGGGTGAGTGTGTGTGATTTCCTCGGAAATTATTGGAAGGATAGGTTGCAAACACGAGAGAAGTGGCGTGCAATGCAAGTGCGAGCCATTGCTGTTGTTGAGGTGGGGACTGGGAGGAGGGTCCACCAACGAATTTTACGAGGTACACATGATGGTTTCGCAGATGGCTCGCTTGGACATCTTCGCGCGGGTTCAGCGTGTTCGTTTTCAGTTTCATCCATCGTGGCGCAAGACGATTCCAGACGATGCACTACAGTTATCAAGCTCCACCGTTCTGCACCGTGACGCAACAAGAACGAACTTAGGACGAACGCGCTGGACCCGCCCGCTGAACGAATTTCCTCTCAGCCGCCCGTCACAAATGACACATCTCGCTGACGATTATAGCTTGGCGAGTGACGACACAGAGAAGTATCGTCGACGATGGAAGGCAGGGTTTAGCCTTCTGAACTTGGTTACCCGTCTCGTGAGTTTTCTCAACGTCGTGAGATACGAATGGGCAACACCTTACTACAATCAGCGTTACCACGTCAGCACCCAGCTCATCAGGCAGTCCACTCCACCTGTTTCTCACCGTGAATTATTCGATAATTGGACCCAACATCGATGGCCGTGGATGACGCTGGAAACAGATTCGCATGTGGATAACGCGTTCTGCATTGCAGGTGGCCGTTGGATCCGTGTGCACTTGAATCATTTCCGTAGACACTCACCACCACAATTTTTTCCCGCCCACCCACACCTTCAGCTGGATCATATGGCCGCATTTTTTATTCGGAGTGTACTTCGTATTATTCTGATCTGGTTGGTCAGATTCGCAACGAGAACGGGTCTCTCGAATAGCCAGTCTTCAAACGGATAGGCCATAACGAATCTAGGTCGCATAATCGTTGGCCATGTAATCCAGGTGCTAGGTCAACGAGATAGTCGTAACCTGATTGGAAGCGACGACACAGAATCGTCCTGCCAGAAGCCACGCATTGTGCGATTGGTTTGCGAATGATGTAGTCCATCGCTTCTCCTCCTTCCTGCCCCGCGACTCACGCGAGTCAAGCACCGTCCACGTCGCAGAGAAGACCCCGCGAAAGAATTCATCGCACGAATCGCGTTCCTAGAATTCAACCTATTCGCGACTCCAGATGCAAGCCAAACACATATCGCGAGCCTATAATTCGCTGCCATGGCACGGCGGCTGTCACGGTGCTGTCACACTTCGCACTATAAGCCACCAGCCCAGCACATTCAGAGCTCAAAGCAAGTTCGCTATTCTTCCATCGCGCCTGCCATTCTACCATTCTCCTATTACTGCTTGCACTGGACTCCCCTTGCACTGCGCTCGCCGCGCACTGGAGTGTCCTTCCCAAGGGCGGACCGCGCTGCTCGAGCAGTGTCGCCTTGCATAGGACTCGTTGCCTACCATCCGCACTTACACACTCTCGGCGGCGCGAACCAACACCGTGACTCGATCGTACGTCACAGCTCCGTTGCTCCACTTCAGGCGCCCGCGATACTTTGAGTTGAAGGCTTTGCAACGGATCCATCTCATCTTTCTTCACCATGAGGAGGACGCCTCCTGCGGGCGCCTCTTGTGCCGGCCTCCTGCTCCTCGCACTTGCCCTCATTTGCGGTCGGTCTCTCCTTGCGCTCAATGGTGTCATTGTAATGCTATCCGTGCCTTATTGCTCTCTTCTATTTTTTACTTCCGTATTTCTTTCACCTGATTTCTTTCTTCTCCCTGCCCTCGCTTCTCTCCTCGCTGCTCTCGTTTCTCTTCAGCGGTCGGGGTGACGAAGGCAGCGAATGGCGACCACAAGGGGGAAACGATTACACTGCATGACGCGATGAAGGCATCAGCGCACGGCGGCGCCGACGCAGTCCGAACGATCACACTGCCGCATGACACGCTCGGCAGCGCTGCTGCAGCGTACTACGGAGATGAAACGCCAGCGAGGCCCAAACCGGCAAGCAAGAAAGCCAACGCCGCGAGGAGGGCACTCGTGGTACGCGAGGGAGCCACCACCAGCGGCGACACCGGTGCGCGCGTGCAGGTTGCCACGGCGGTCGCGCTGGGGGTGGCCGCCGCTCAGCTGAACTTCACGACGCAGCAGCTGTGCGTGAGCGTGGATAAGAAGGCGCGGAAGGCGCTGAAGAGCGCCAAGAAGAAGAGCGCGGCGGTGTGGTGGAAGGGCACTGGGGCTTCGGGCAGCGCATCAGCGGGCGGGCAGTGCGCGCGGGTCAAGCTCTTTGGTAAAGACGGCTGCCAGGGCCCACCACTGGACAGCATTGTCAACCCGCGCACGCCCGGGTCCACGTGAGTCGGGGTGCATGTGAGTCGGGGTTCTTGTGAGTGAGGCGGGGTTTATGTGAGTCGGCGTTAATGGGAGTTCGCGTTAATGGGAATTCGGGTTAATGTGAGTTGGGATTTATGTGAGTTGGGGGTATATGTGAGTTGGGGTCGTGTCACCATGAAACTTTGCGAGGGAGGATAGTGGAGGAAAGGAGAAAGCAAAGGGACAAAGGAAAAATTTTCGTTTTAGCTCATTGTGACATCCTGTGTTACCAACGCAATTCACTTTCCCAAGCACAAAGAAAAGCACCCTCAAGTGGGCTTTACTGGCGTCGGTTTCAGGCGTCTGTTTCAAAACGTCTGAAAATAGCGTGTGTGTGCTTCCACTTGCCACGCCCTTCAGGTTCCCCAGCACGCAGAAGGACGTCTTCAAGTTGGCTTCAGTGGCGTCGGTTCTCTGCGATCTGAATGTCAGCTCCAGCGGTACGTTCTTTTCTCATCCACAACTCAACTCCAGTGGTGCTTCCATTGCTGATCCCCGTAGAGGGTGCTTTGCATTGCCGCAACTACCTTCTCAAGGGTGCTATGCCCTGATGTTGTCACTTTGTCATGTCCCTTTTCTCATGTCCCTTTTCTTGCCTGTGTGCTGCAGATCCTGCATGTGCGGCATTGGGGTGTGACCCTGGTGGCACCTGTCAGGTGGATCAGAGCAGCGAGCTTTTCTGCCAGTGGGGTGAGTGAGCATGGCTGCCTCCTTTCTTGCTCTCACTTCAACCCATGCACTCTCGTATGTCGAGACCCATTGAAGCTTCCAATTGCCATTCCTTCCATCCATTGTAAGGCCCCACACACGTCACAACTCAATGTCAGTCATTCCTTTGAATGGAGTGTGTCCGACCCATGAGAGCGAGGCAGCACTGAATAAGTGTAATGTACTTGCCTGTGTGCCCCCATAGCAAGCTGACTGCTCGCCTTTTGCCAACCTGCCTCTCTTCTGTCTCGTTTGTCTGGACTGGAGCCACGATCCCCCTCTAGCAAACCCTACCGACATGTCTCACCCCACCAATGTTCTTTCTTTACTTATAAAACTCCCACCTTTCCTCTGCCCTGTCTTGCTTCTCCCCTTGCTTCTCCCGTTGCTTGCCCCTTGCTGCATTCTTCAGACACTCCCTGTGGCTCCTGCCCCAAAGGAGCCTCCTGCAAAACAACTTATAATTATGGAAAGTATTGGGCGCCAGTGCCGGTGCAGTACTGCATGTGCCCTCAAGGGTATGGCATGTACGACGACACCGATAGACCGGGCGCGTGTATTCAAAGTGAGTTTCGTGGAACAATCAACTTTTGAGTTGACTCAAAAATCGCCTTGGTATTGCGTGTGCCCTGAAGGGTATGGCATGTTCGACAACACCGATAGAGTGGGCTTGTGCACACCGAGTGAGTTTCTGTCAAGCATATTCAATCGATTTTCCTCTTTCCCCATTAGCCAATCACCACTCTGCTTCAATCGTCCTCACCCTATCATGGCGGATAGGTGCCTGATGGTGGAGGCTAAGTTACCCGAACATGATGGCGATGCGTGTACAACACGCAACTAACGCTGCAGTGAGTTGTTCCACCCACGCGCCACTCCTTTGCAGACTCTGCTGGTCCCGGACGCGCCTCTTCTTTCAGCCTCACACTCATTGCCAATGAAACCGCCAAGGACAGATCTTCTCGGCCCTACACCTTCCGCCTTGACAACCACATATGCACGCAGCTCCCGGATGCAGTGACGGGGAAGGTCACAGCAGCGTACATTATTACAGCCAACAACGGCTACTCACCGATTTGCCACCAAGTCAGAATCTACCCAACAGATAACTGTTTCGACGATGTCTTCACAGAATGGAACTTGGGCTTCCGGATTGCGACAGGTTATTGGTCGTACCAGTAAGTGATTATCATTCTCCACTTCTGTACCAGCTTTTGCACATGCCTTCACCTGCTATTTCACTTCCCTTTCTTCACTAATGAAAGACAGGGCTTTACTGAGATATTATTCTCTCTGTACTCCCATTTTTATCTGCCAGGGACATTATGAACCCAGAGGACAAATTGGCAATGGCGCTCCGAAATATGCGCTCGGCAGTTTGCCTCGTAGAAGGTCGCAACACGTATCCTTAGGATGCTGGATGCAATTTCTCAATATGGTGTCATCTACACATGCTTCTTCAGCATAATTGGCTTCTTTCCCTTTCTCGATGAATTCCCGAGTTACGGCAAAACATTATTGTAACTGTCAAACTATATTTGCATGATGTAGAGTATACCATTTGTTAGGGTTGTATTTGTATCACCCTTCGGGCCCGTCTGATCCATCAGATGCCCTGGGTTTTGGAGGTCTGATGGATCAGACGTTTCCGAAAAGCGGTTTCTGATGTTTTTGTTTGCTGGCATTGGGGAACCAATCACATGTTGAGGTGCAGCAGGCTCGCAAGGTCACACTCTAGAAAACGGGAGGAAAATCTGGTCGTTGACACCAGGTGCTTTTTTACGCATGGTGTCTTTTCAAATGTTCGGAAGCCCCAAACTTCGGAAGACCCGAGTGTCAAAATGTTATTTGCTGTGTAGGTTGTTGTGGGGTACTCAACAGAGAGTACAACCCCTTAAGGGTTTCCCAAATGTACTCCATCGTCCTGCTAGAACAGTCCTCCTTAATACCTAAGCCCTAACTTGACTTGGCCTCTTAACATGGTATCAGAGCAAGTCGACCTTCCCTGGTCGATCCTGTTGGGCCACCAATCGCTTCCGCTGCCTTCCTGCGAGTCGCGCTCCCCAGGAGCGTAGCAATTTCCTGCCTTTCGCACGCCCCGGGCGCGCGACGTTTTCTGCCCGCCGCGCGCCCCGGGCGCACGGCATTTTCTGCCTGCCGCGCGCCTCGGGCGCACAACAGTTCTCAGCTCGTTGCGCGCTCTGGGCGCGCGACTGTTTCCTGCCCGTCGCTTGCCCCGGGCGTGCGGTGGATTCCTGCACGTCATGCGCCCCGGGCGCGCGACAGATCCTGCTCGACGCGCGCCCCTGGCGCGGGACGAATCCTGCCCGTCGCACGCCTCGGGCGCGCTTCGGTTTCCTGCCCGACGCGCGCCCCGGGCGTGCGGTGGTTTTCAGCCCGCGCACTGCCCCTGCAGCCCGCGAGCCGCCCTTGCAGCCCGTGAGCCGCCCCTGCAGCCCGCGCGCCACCCCTGCAGCTCGCGAGCCGCCTTTGCAGCCCGCGCGCCTGCCCCTGCAGCCGCTGGGCAGCTCCTACCCCGCCCCCCCGCCCCCCCCCCCCCCTTCTCCTTCATCTCCCTGCTGCGTGTGCAGCCGTGGGGGGGAGGGTATGGGGGTGGCGGGCGTGAGTGATCAGCTGCCGCTCCTCTCTCTCCCACTGTTGCAGCTGCCGCTGAGGAGGGGGAGTGTGTGGGGGAGACGAGGGAGTGACGCTAGGGATGCCGAGGGGTGTGAAAGGGGGTTTGGGACGATGCGTGGAGGTTGAAGGCGGGTGGCCGCCGTGAAGTCCGCAGCTCCAGTGGCCCATGAGATCGTTGCGCCAGTGGCCCGTAATTCGGTTGCTCTTGCCGTCGAGCAGAGCCAGTTACTCCAGTTGCCCGTGTGCCACTTGCTCCAGTTGACTGTGGGTCAGTTGCTCTTACCATCGAGCAGAGCTAGTTACTCCGGTTTGCGCCGTGTGCCAGCAGCTTCCGGGGCCGCCCACCTCCTCCTCTCCTCTCATGGTCCCTCCTCCTCCTCACTTGCCCTCTGTTTGAGCCACTAGCCTTTGCTTGTGAACTGGTCCTGCGACTGCTTGTTGTGTTGGGTATCCCCCACTTCGTCTATGGAGGTGTGTCAAGATGTTATTTGATGTGTAGGCTATAGTGGGGTACTCAACAGAGAGTGCAACCCTTTAAGGGTTTCCCATATGTACTCCACTATCGTGCTAGTACAATCCTCCTCCTTAAAACCTAAGCCCTAACTTGACTTAGTCTCTTAACACCGAGGCTAGGAATGCGCCCTGAGAAAATGCGAAGAACTTTTTTTGCAAGTTTCTGGGAAGGAGTGGCAGAAGCGAGGATGAGGGAATGGTGAGGGTTCATGAATCTTTGTGAGCAGAAATGAGGGTGCTGGGCTGGGAGGAACGGCGAGAGAAGCAGCAAGAATTTGGTTGGTGGGGAGGGGGGAAAGGGGGGGAGGAGGGGGGGGGGTTGAGAGAACAGTGTAGGAAATGAATGAACTATGCAAGAGTGAGATACAAGTAGTAAACCCTAACTGGGGCTGTACTGTATACTGAGCACCTCACTGTAGCCTAGCAGAACTAAGAACATATATTTATGTTTTGACACAACCCCTAGGCAAAATGAGGGATAGCCAACACAAGAAACGGTCACAAGAAGAGTCACACAAGAGAACAAAGCAATGCAAAGCCTAGGGTGGATCTCAAGATCACCACGCATTCCGAGCACAAGCAAGCGGCCACAAGGCCAGTTCACATGCAGAGTTTAAAAAGCAAAGCACTACACTAATCACAAGCTAGCAAGAGTAGACATGTAGGTAAAAATATAGATATCAGTGTACAACAAGTGCAAGATCAAGAGACAAGCAGGTGAGACAGAGTGGGCAGAAGCCCAAGAGCAGTGCAAAAACGCTGATGATCACCAGACCCGAGGGCCTTGGTGAAGACATCAGCAGTGTTGGCCCAAGAGGCCACGTAGGAAGGGCATCAGGTATATGACGCAACCCACAAGCTCTGGATACGGACCACTCGTCTCTACAGACTTGTTCGAAGGTGGAGCTGAGAGCGAGTGGCCTGTAGGCAGAGGAGTGGGCTGTGGCGAGGAGTACTGGAAGCCGAAGTGCTGAAAAACCCTGGTGCACCATGTATGACTGAGTCAGGGTGATGGTGCGCCGTGCTCTGTCCCGGGTAATCTGCAAGCCAAGATAGCTCCGCAGCTCACTTAGGTCAGTGTGGGTGTGTCTCTCATGCAGCTCTGCGTTCACTATGGCCAGCGCCTCAGTGTTAGTAGTAGCAAAAACCAAGTCGTGGACGTTGAGAACGCAGAGCAGCGACAGAGAAGTGTCGGTGCGTAGAAACAGCGATGGGTCAGCAGAGGAAGGAGCAAACACAAGAGCCGCAAGTGTTGTCCTCAGTGTGTCATGCCACTCGTGGGGCGCCTAGCGGAGACTGTAGACTGGCCGCCGGAGGCTCCACTGGGTACTCGCAGGAAACGACCCAGTGAAGCCAGGTGGGCGGCGCAGCCAGAGCTCCTCGTGAAGGCTGCACTTGAAGAAAGCTGTGGAGAAGTCGAGGGAGTACAGCTCGTAGTCCCGATGTGCTAAAGCGTGCAGCAACACCCGAAGAGTAGTCATCTTTGTGGCGGGGGAGAAGGTCTAGAAGATGTCGACCCCCTGTCGCTGTCTGAAGCCTCGAGCAACGTAACGTGCCTTGAAGGCAAGCGGAGAACCCGTCGGCTGCTTCACTATGAAAATCCACATGCTATCGAATATGTTCACCCCAAGAGGAGGAACCTCGCCGACGTAGGTGACTGTGGACTTCCAGTAAGCCGTTTCTGCGTCCATGGCTGTCTGTCACTGAGAGTAGTACTCACCCGCGATCGCCTCAGCGTAAGAGCGTGGGGTAGGGATGTCAATTGCATCCGGGTCTCCCTCAGGGCAAAGCAGCATGGATGCAAAACGAAGTAAAGCGGTTGCAAGACACCCAAGATTAACCTACCTGTCCTCAAGGACGTCATAGCCAAGGGCAGGCTCACCCTCGATAGACGGAGGACAGACAGGCTCAGACTCATTAACAAGACTCGCGACGTAGTCGAGATGACACCTAGCATTAAAGTATACTAGCTCAGTGACTAGGGCAAACACAGCACTAGACTCAAAGTCAGGGTCAGTGACGACAGTGGCGAGGAGACGTGTGACAGTAGGACTGGCAGCACAAGCAAGGTCGGACTCAGGGTCAGGAACATCAGGATGGGAGGACGCCAGAGAAGACGACAGGGGAACACGCTATGGAACAGAGGAAGGACGAAGTGCCATAGCGTCGGTGCCTGGGACAGCAAGAGACGCTCAGTTTGGGAGTCTGAAAGCTTAGTGTAGGGAGTAGAGCAGGCAGCGGGGAGCCAGGCGGCAGCTGTGTTTGAGACGGGGCAGACGGTGGACACAGGAGGGGTGGACTAAGGCCAGTAGAAGACGGGAGACTAGGAACCTGGCAAAGGGCCGAGTTAGGCGGCGGCAGGGACGAATGCAGCTGCGGGTAGAAAAACGGTCGGCGTGGTACAGTACCCATACCATCAGAAGCTCCAGGATCTCCAGTACTAGCACCTCCAGTGCCAGCAGTTCTTGCACCTCCAGTACTAGCACCTCCAGTGCCAGCAACTCCTACACCTCCAATACCTCCAGCTCTGGTGCCTCCAGAAATAGTAGCACCTCCACTACCTCCTGCACCGGCAGCACCTGCAGCACCAGCACCTCCAGTGCCAGCAGCTCCAGCACCTCCAGCTCCAGTAGCACCAGCACCTCTAGTACGAGCACCTCCTGCATTAGCAGCACCAACACCTCCAGCGCCAACAGCTCCAGCACCTCCAGTACCTCCAGCACCAGCAGCACCAGCACCTCCAGAGCGAGCAGCTCCAGTACCTCCAGCACTGCCAGTACCTCCAGCTCCACCACCTCCAGTGCCAACAGCACCTCCAGCACCAACAGCACCAGCACCTCCACTACTTCTAGGTCCAGCAGCACCATCACCTCCAGCTCTAGCACCTTTAGCACCCCCAGCACCTCCCATACCAGCAGCTCGAGGAGCTGTAAAACTCTAAGCACAAGCACCGGAGCAACCTCGCCGAATGACCCACTCACGAAGATGCTGCGGTGAGGACGTCTCGAGCCGACTAGGCGGCTGCTGC